TTCTATCCTGCTATAACAAATGCAAACTTGTGCAATCCGCTAAATCCTAAATTGGATTTGTTCAAATAAGAGTATGACTAAGATTTTCAACAGCGAAAAAGTCCTGGTAGTCACAATTCACTTAATGGCCACTGTTAAGTATGGTGGAGGAGGTATGATGCTGTGGGCCTTTTTCCCTGTCAAAGGTTTTGCTGGTTGGAGTGTTTGAAAGAACACAACATTTTAAGATACAAATCTGGAAAACATCAACTAGAAGAACGAAATTTCAATTAAATCCCCAGGTTACTCTGAAAATACTTTGTACACTAACGGTTAAGTTAGTGAGGCTTTTTTCAAATCGATAATTATGTGATTGTTATTTTCATGTCTTTTCGCTGGATATTTCTGCTTCAGTAATCATTCCAACAGATTTTGTTAGAATTCATACATTGCTTTGCATAGCGTCTTCAATCCTAATGTCCATTAGAACACCAGTGTCCGCTTTAACTCGCACACATCCACGGAACAGGCGGTTTATATTACATAAATGCCATTCTGTTACAGAAGTGTCATAAACCAAATTCTTTTGCAGTTTTATAATAGCTGTAATAAATTAAACACCGGCTCAGTGTGTCAGCTGGGCAAGGCGGTGTGAATGGGCATGTACAGTATTTGGTATCACCTGAAATATGAACTCTGTAAAATAAACATATTTAATGTCTTATCTATTTTGAGTCCACTGACCTTACCTAACCAAGGCAGTGACTCAGGGAGGCACAGCTGTAACTGAAAGGAGTAGAAGATCCACAAAACGTGGGTTTCCTTTTCCCACTAAATCTAATTCTGTTTAATAGACATATTAGGGTCAAGGTCAGGATTCTGACCTCAAACACCTCTTTAAAAAAGAGTGCAGCTTACTATAAATTCAGCAGCAAGGCTGATCATCGGTCATCTTGTGTTTAAGTGCACAGGATTAAAGAGGCGTTTCCAATAAAGTAGGTTAAGTTTTTCGCCTGCAAAACCAACTTTCAGCTTTATATTCACGCCACCGTTCAGAAGCGTGCAGCTAATTTCCTCATATAAAATATGAAAGAATGGGAAAAACTGGAGGAAGTTTGATGCCTTTGAATTATTCAACTACAACTGAAATAAGAAAGGTCAGAAACAAATTCATTAGACTTATTAGATATCCTCATGAAGATTAAAGGAAAGGTAAAGAGTTCATGACCTTTCTATAAGACCCCCCTTACTCTAGTAGTAGGCTTTGCCCCTCACCTCTCCTGTTCCTGTATAAGGAAGGCAGAGTGACAGACAGGGCGTCTTGACTGGGGGCGTTGATGACAGGAAGACGAATGAATGCAAAAAGAGCCGGAGAAATGCCAAAGAAGGACACAAGACATATTTAAATGGTATTAAATATAGAAGGGTCTGTAGTTTTTCATGAAACTGATGCATCGAACTCAAGTATTATCTCTAATTAAAAAAATACTTTGAGATTTTAATGATCTATTTAAAGTATTTTTTTTACATGTTTGCAATGAATTAAAGTGGTGATATTTTATTGACATGTAACTAAAAGAAAACTTTTTTTTTTATTTCTTTAGATATGATAAATGTTTGTTTCTGACATTCTGGCAGGAGTGGAAGGAATTCATTCACAACACCGCCCCCTTGTGGATGCAAATATGCATATCACTAAATACATAATGGGCTCCAAATACACTACTTCAGTTTAATATGGGAAAAATAAATGGATAAATGTGACATAGTATTATGAGACAAAAAAACAAAAACTGGAAAGCATCTTTTATATTAATGGGTACAGAATAAGGACCCTCAAGACTTTAAGAACAAATATAAAGTGTTTGTTTGGTTCTTTTATGTAGCAGTAATAACATAACAGCTGCTCACATTTGCTACTAAAAACAAAAACAGTGATTATATATAAAAACTTTCCATATTACTTCTAACATAATAAACACCTTTATTCTTTAACTGTCCTATTTGTTTTACATGTTTTTTTTTTAATCTTTATTTGCTTTTAATTTCTTTTATTCTATCATCTAATTCATGTAAATAAACAAATAAACTTGCCTTGCCTATTCCAACCTTTCACATTTTATCATAAAACTTTAAAGGCCTTTTTTTTTTTTTTTTGCTTTATTGAAAACTCAGATATAAACTATTGTTGCACTTTTAATGTAAGGCACATATTGTACAAACTGAACCAAAAAAGAACTGTTAAAATAAAAGATTTAAACAAAAAAAAGGTTAATAATTGAGCAAGAACAAGGCCGACCCAATGCATAAGGGAACTAAGCAACAGCTCAGAGGGATTAAGGAACAACGTTTTTTTGGTCCATATAACTATTTCTCTGTTTTATATCAACATATCTTTAATCATGTGGAAATAATCACTTATAGATGAAATTACAGCCAGATTGGCACACCGATGAGGAAGGATCGGGGTAAACGTCTCCAACACAAATCCAACTTCGGAGAACAGTCTGATATTGATCAAAGTGCACTGGCTTTGGGATTTAAAGTCTTTCAGACACTCTAGTGCACAGATTAACTAATTTACTCACTTCCCTTTTAAAATGAGATCTGAGTTCTACCCAGATCCTTTGTTAGCTCTGAGGAACTCTCTCTGTGACTGTGATCAAGAACTACCTGACATCTTCCATGGAGGAAGAATGCTCAAGTGAGGGAGCTGTGTACTGATAACAAATTTGTTCAGATCTTAGTGATGTTGTGACTTTGTGGAGAAACGCAGGTTTTAAGGAGCGCGTGGATTACTGAGGACGACCATTGTAACATAAAAAGGTCAAATGTAAGATTTTCCAAATAGTAACATACATTTAAATCATTTTAATAGCTTATAACTGAATTTAAAATGTAATTTCTCATGTTAGAACATGCTTTGTGTGTTTTTTATTCAATTATCTTTATTTTTGTGCAAATTCATTTATTATTTGCTTTAATCAGAGCTATTTTGCTTGTTTGCTGTTGGAACCAAAAAGTATAAACCACCTGACTTTTGCCGTATATGAACTGCCTACTAATGTACTAGTAACACGAGATGATACATGGAAATAGGAGAGCTTAAACAACACTGCCAGAAACCAAACATCAGTGGGTTTATGGTAGGTCAGTGATCCGATTATCCAACTGTTGATGCAGGAATCCATATTATTGGCAGAAACAGAGGGCCCCGAAATTTCTATTTTGCTTATGTTCACCGTAGAAGGAAACCTCACATCTACAACCTTTTTTTTAATGGGTCCCCTCAGATTTTCTCTCACATTTAGTTTTGGGTTATTTGTTGATTTGGATCAATCCTTGGACTCATACTAATGCTAAAAAAAAACCCCCCCCAAAAAAAAAGCTAAATGACACAGGAAAGATTTGGGTAATTTTTTATTGGTATTTATTGAAAAGCCAACCCAAACTATGATGCTGTCTCTACCGTATTTCACGGTTGAGACACCATTAACTAAATTTGGGAATTGTGAAGCAGCGATCAGGTTGAATTTGGTCAGATTTTTACCGATAACCCTTCAAGAAAGTCTTTAGAGATCTTACCAGGGTCTAGTTCAGCATTTGCAAACTTTAATAGACTCGTTTACTCCTTTGGGCATTTTATCTTACATGAGTACTGCTTTCGGTCAAAGTTTTTGATTGTCCAAAAGTGGAACGCAAAATAATTGATTATAAAATAAAAACTATTTTACTTGATCTTGATGTTATACCTTTTATACTTTCCATCGCAAAAAAAACAAACAAAAAACAAAGAATGTTGCTTGTAAGGAATCTAAATAAATACAAATGATAAACTGTATTTACAAAACTGGAGCTCCTATGAGTAACTCCCTTATAATCAAATTCAAACTTGATGAATTGGGAACAAAAATAATAGACTGACTTAATTAGTTTTACTTTGTTTTCATCATGACAAACCAGCTGGTTAGATGAACTCTAATAGCTCAGTGTTAAAAACAGCTGATCCCAGTCTGTTCTCTACATCCAGCCTGTTCCTCTGCTTGGTTTTGATGTGTCACAGCTGAAGGTGAACTCAAACATATAAGAAAAACTTACTTTTTTGTTGATAAAAGCTTGTTTAATTTTTCAGTTGGGTCCTCAAAAAGCAGAACAGATCAAAGCCCTATTTTATTTTACTATCTAAGAAATAAAATACTGTCATGAACTCCTTGGATTGCACTCATGGACCACTAGGGGTATGAGTATCCCCGGCTGCGAATCACTAGTCTAGATGACAAAAAGTTTTCTGTGTTGGAAGCCTCTTAGTTCAGGTGTATAGAACCAGATGTTTTTACATGTGGAATCCAACCGCTTCTTCACATTCATCCCTATAGGGCTTAAAGGGATGCAAGCCTCTTGGCAGCTTCTCTGAGGATTTTTTTTTTTGTTCAATAACTATGGAAAAAATATTTCATCAATGCATTAGTTTCTGTCCTCAAAGTATTTTGAACTTCTCATACAGTCCTTCGGACAATGAAATGTTTGGCTTGTTTGCTAAAACTGGCTTCAGTTAGAAGGCGGAGACAATTAACAAACCCTCACAGCTGAGTTTAATTCACATTCAGCTTGTGTTAAATCAGGAAGAAATGCTCAATTTAAATGAAATGCTTAAACTATTAAAGGTGTACTCCACTGAACTAGATCAGGTTTTGTACTTTTTTTTAAAAGATAGAATAAATGTGGATGTTTTCTTGTGATACTGGCCTCCTAAAGAACGTTAGATTTGGGCTATAATCGCCCAGCTAAAGGCAAAAACACTGAATCCCTATGCAACTTGCCCAGGGGCATATTAGGGTGATATCTAACCTTCTGATTGCAAGATGCCTCCCAATCAACCCTAAATCATATCATATACTATCTTAATTATTCTAGTTATTTTCGGACAGCAGGTTATTGAAGGCTGCTCTGTCAGCTGTTCCTCTGGAGGTAAAATATGACAATAGGATCATTACACAGAAAAACACAAGGAGGACACATGGCAGCTCAGATTCTCGGTTTATTGGTCAACTTGATGAAAGACTACAAAACGAATTCACAAAAAATCTCTTTCAAGTAATCAAATCTGTACAAACCTAAACTGTATGGGGTTTTTTTTTTTTTTTTTTTTTACAGCTCTGGCTCATATGAATCTGACGAGTCGTTTGAGTTTGCGTGTGTGTAAGCATGTGCTTGCTTGGAAATGATGCAACTCCTCCTCGGCGAGAGATAATGAGACATTACAGCAAACTCGGCAAGACACAGCAGACCCACACGCACACCTGTGTTTGAGATTTTACAGTACAGAAACAGGGAAAACAAAAACACGCCTCCCCCCCTCTTATTCTCTGCAAGTATGCGCGGCGCCTGCAGGCAGTTTGGCTGCCAAAGCAGCCATGACAGCAAGCTGCCATTGTCTTTAAAACCCTGCTTTTTCAGTCCAATTACCTTAGAGACAGACCCTGTGGTTTCAACGTGGCCACTGGAAGAGTGGTCAGAGCGAGGGGAAAGTATAAACCTTTCAATATTTTTTGCAAAAATCTACATGCGATTTTTAATGCTCACCTGCAGACGAGACAAGTTTATAGTCCGCGCACGCACGCACCCACTCAGACAATTCGTTACATTAAATGTTTAAGAAGTACAGATAAAAAAGGAAAAAAAAAAAAGCCCTGGGTATAGGTTTCATTTCTGGCTGTTTGGTGAAAGAAAGGAGAAGAGAGGTAGAGAGGGCAGGAGGGATGGGCCGGAGGACAAAAAGCAGACTACGGCTGTCATTTCTTAGCTTTCCTGGGAGGGGTGACTGGGCGGCCGGAGCCCATGCCGCCCCCGCCGCCGTAGAACAGCTTCTTATCTGCAGGTTTCAGGATCTGGTTACAGGAAGACATCGGCAAAACATTAAAACCAACAATTCGAGTCATTTACCAAGAGCGGCAGGTCAAATGATTACCTGGAATGAACACATGAGGGTCTCGTCTACGCTCATCATGGCCCCGGCGTTGTCAAACTCCCCGCAGTAGTTTGGGGCTGAAAACAGCGTCACCAGCTGTCTCTTAGCAAAGAACTCATATCCGTCCTCAACCACCTGAAAACACACAAAGGAGAGGGTCACAGCTTTGTTTTTGTGGAACAAGAGTCAACCTGGAAAAACAAAAACATCAAAGCAGCAGAACGTTTTAAATGAGCATAAAGGAGGGCGGTCAGAAAATGAAAACACAAACAATAATTTAGTCCAAATGTGTCCAACAGCAAATTTCTCTCCCTTAAAATAAACCTTCCTTATTCAGGAAGTGGTTAAAATATTTCACAGAGATACTATATTCCTACAAGATGCAGAGACACAACAAATCATCTGTGATAATAACAGGATTTAACTCTCTAAGAATCACATTGGTTCCACAGAAAGTCTGCATGATGGAGCCTCACGCTTTAAGGCGACACAATGGGAAGGTTGCTAAAAGATTATAAAAACAGCATTCTAGCCCTTCTACGCTGAAATATTTTATCATCATTATTTAAGAATGGTTAAATGAATTATCCAGGTTGTTAGCCTGTATTAGACTAGGCAGCAGATTAACTGTTTACATGATTCAACGCTTCATTGTTTACTAATCAAAAAAGAAGAAAAATTTGATTTTCACACTAAATTATGAATTGTATGAAAAAAAGGAGTAGCATCAGTTCTGGTCATTTCCGTTGTTATAGAGCAATACAGAATCTAATAGGCTCTAACACCTAGAGAGAGAGTGATCAAATATTAATACCAGCATCTAGGAATGGAACAGTTTATGAAAACTGTCGGAACCGTTCGGTTCGATTAGCGTGTTGCGTTCGGTTCATGCGCTGCTCCTTTTTCTCATAGGCAAAGCGTGTACACGCCAAAGCAGAAGGTGGCGGTACTGCGACCAAAGCCAACCACCAGTAGTAAACAAGAAGAAGAAGCGAAGCAGAGTAGCAAAAAAAAAATCAGTTGTTGTGGAGAATTGTGTGGGTATGGCGAGTGGGAAAGAACAGGAGTTGGAAGACGCGCCAGCAGCACTTTATAGGTCTGCTGTATGGGACAACTTTGCATTTAGAGTGACCTACGATGACGGCGGAAAGAAAGTTGTGGATAAAAGTGCAACAGTGTGCAAGCATTGTGTAACTCGTGTTGTACTATACAAGACATAATAGATTTTCCTAACAATCAACATATAACGAACCAAACCGAACCCCGTAACCACGGAACCGTGAACCGAGCCGTGGATTTTGTGAACCGTTCCACGCCTACCAGCATCTGTAAAAATGGGCCTGATCCATAGAGAATGATGCATTCAGTCCATTTATATAACAAATTTAAGTAAAAAATCTCTTGAACAGAAGAAACGTTTACCCCTTTAAGGGCCTTTGTCTTTAATTCGATACATACAGTCAGTTTAAAACCTTAAAGTTGCATATTTGTTTTAAAGAATTACTGCTTATGACATCCTTTTCTGACCTTTTACTAAAGTTGCCTTTTGTGATACAAATGTGCAGTCATACATATTATACTGGCTTTTACAGAGGGGTTTATCACAGCCTCTTAAATAGCACTAAAACAAATAGAACTGTGGGAAAAGCATAAAAATCTGCTGATATAAAAAATTATAAAATGAGTTAACTCTGTCAGATACTCGGCCTTTTCTATTCCCATTTTTTCTTTAAAAGAAAGCATCAACTTGGTGAGTTTCTGTCTGATCATTCGGTTGTAGAATAGCATGAAAGTAGGAAAAATTAGGATAATCCTGGTGAAGGTTAGGTATGAATACGGCTGACCATAATAACAATGTTTTAATGTCTTTATATGTTTTGGTTTTGAAGGAATAAAGGTGTTAGGAAGAAAGTGATTACTTTTCCTTTTTATATGAAGATTTGACTGAAAATATTGCTTTGTTCAGTATCAGTTTTACCACTAAAATAATGTGGTTTCCGCAGACTTAACCACCTTCTAAAACATTTAATTATTCTGATCGTCATCATGATCGATCTGAAATCTATTGTGCAGCAGGGCCTGGAACAGAGTTAGGAAGGGGTGACTTTTATACAGCCTGAAGCATCGAAATGAAAGGAAATCAGAGCTTTTGAAATCGTAGTCATTTAGATGGAAAAATGAAGGAAAAGTGTCTAACCTCAATAAAAACATGAGCCAACATTAATGCTGGTCCAAATGAGCTTCAGCTTTCTCTCCTATTGTTATGAAGGGACTTCCACCTGCTCCACTTCCACTCACACAAAACCATTATGTAATCGACAGGCTTGCTGTGAGTTCAAAGAGGAAGTTCTCACAAAAACCCTCCCGACCAAAGGTTATAGATAGGAACCATATAAGTGGCCCATAATAACCTACTTTTTGAAAAGGAGGTGATAAAACTGCAGCCTGTATCAAGCTGAACACACCTTACAGTAAAAACAAACTATTAAACTAGAAATATTCTTTTAAACCGAATAGTTTGCCCTTTTAACGACAACTAACTTTCCTAATTATCTCATGTACCTGATGGGCTCGACAAATCAGGTCCATATCATGTCTGTGGAGGAACTTTGTGACCACATCTGCACCGAAGGTGAAGGAGACGCCGCGGTCATTCTCGCCCCAGCCCAGCACGTCCTTGTCCGGGTCGGCCCACAGCAGGTCGCAGAGGAGGCCCTGGTCGGGAACGTCGGTGGGACGCATCACCCTTCTCACCTGCTCCATGGACTGGAGGTCGGGGGAAAGCCCTGGAGAGGATCAACACAGAAAACTTCTTCTCACCACTTTTCTTTTTATTTTATTCACATTTTTCTTTCATTTATAGAAAAAAAAACACCATAATTTAAATCCATTAAAAGCGGTTCCGCGGTCCAGACGCTAATCTTCTAAAGGGGATCAATAGAGATCTTAAAAATATCATAAACTGAAGTGTTAGTTGATTCAAGTTGTCACAAAAAAAGTCACATTATTTCAGAAGTAAAATCAACCAAAAATGAGAAATATCCTGTTTTCACCCAGGACTAAGAGGACCCTTAAAGGTTAAACATATCGCCTAAAACAGGTTTTAAATTGGGCTTCTCTGTTCTAGTTGAAGCTCCTAAACATCCAGGAATTAATTACTGGTTTGAAGGAAATCTAATTAGGGGGGCCACATGCCGAAGGCATGGCCCACCTACTACTATCTCACATATTTATTCCGCGTATTATTAGGGGGGCCACATGCCGAAGGCATGGCCCACCTACTACTATCTCACATATTTATTCCGCGTATTTTTAGGGGGGCCACATGCCGAAGGCATGGCCCACCTACTACTATCTCACATATTTATTCCGCGTATTATTAGGGGGGCCACATGCCGAAGGCATGGCCCACCTACTACTATCTCACATATTTATTCCGCGTATTATTTTTATTATAGCTTATAGTTCTCCTCGCCACCAAAAACTTCGGCGCGTAACTAGTCACGCACCATTCGTCGGATCGGGCCCAAAGTTGGCACACGCGTAGAGACCAATGGGGCGATGCGTGCTTGTATAAAACTTTCTCATTAGTCCGAAGGTTTGCGAATTATTAGCGAAAACGTCGCAAAAAATTCCCATAGGAAATGAATGGGGAGAGGAAAAAAACAGCATAAAAAACAGCGCTTCACTGTGTTGGCATACATTCAGTCATTTGTTCGGAGGGGGGCTTTAGCAGCTTAAAGGTGAGTGAATGTGTGTTGCTGCAGCTAGCTCAGTTAGAAGCTAAGGACTGAGGACCCGTTTTTCTTATTCTTTCTCTTCCCATTCAGGTTGTAGATGACCTACAGCCATGAAAGTTACTCCAATTGAAGACAAGATATAGCTTTAGCTTAGATAAAAATAATTTTTCAGATACCTTTTACGGTTTTTACTCAGCAGTCGTTTGTTCGGAGGGGTGCTATAGCAGCTTAAAGATGACAGAGTGTGGTGCTGCAGTTTAAACAAAGGGAGGAGCAGGTGGGATCAGCCATTTTGTTTGTGCTTCGTTTTGGGTTGTGAAAGACCTACAGACATGAAGGTTACCCCAGTCTGAGACAAAGGATAGATGTTTCTTTCACTGAAAGAATTTTTCTAATACCTTTTACGGTTTTTGCTCAGCAGTCGTTTGTTCGGAGGGGTGCTATAGCAGCTTAAAGGTGACAGAGTGTGGTGCTGCAGTTTAAACAAAGGGAGGAGCAGGTGGGATCAGCCATTTTGTTTGTGCTTCGTTTTGGGTTGTGAAAGACCTACAGACATGAAGGTTACTCTAATTGAAGTAAAGATATAGCTGTAGCTTAGATAAAAATAATTTTTCAGATATCATTTATGGTTTTTACTCAGCAGTCCTTTGTTCGGAGGGGGGCTTTAGCAGCTTAAAGGTGAGTGAGAGTGTGTTGCTGCAGCTAGCTCAGTTAGAAGCTAAGGACTGAGGACCCGTTTTTTCTTATTCTTTCTCTTCCCATTCAGGTTGTAGATGACCTACAGCCATGAAAGTTACTCCAATTGAAGACAAGATATAGCTTTAGCTTAGATAAAAATAATTTTTCAGATACCTTTTACGGTTTTTACTCAGCAGTTGTTTGTTCGGAGGGGTGCTATAGCAGCTTAAAGGTGACAGAGTGTGGTGCTGCAGTTTAAACAAAGGGAGGAGCAGGTGGGATCAGCCATTTTGTTTGTGCTTCGTTTTGGGTTGTGAAAGAGCTACAGACATAAAGGTTATCCCAGTCTGAGACAAAGGATAGAT